GGTTGTCCAGAATAACAGGAAAAGACCTAAAACAACTTTAGGAAAGACAGGAAAGTCATGAGTTGGACACATCAATTTTGTATTATTTTCAAAGCAAAAAGCGTTAATGAATTCTAAATTTGCGTTAACTGAATAATAATAAACAACAAACATCATACTCGCTTTAACGGTGACACTGTATATCGCAAGTTAACGTTAAATATTTTCTTTTGGACGATTTTGTAATAAAAAAATAGAGAAATTTTCAGATAGTTTCTCGAGATATGGCCGGACTTCGGACGCCTTCCTTGTCTTATTATTTGAAAATAACACCGTTCGACTTTGGGCTTTGATAGGTTTTTATTTACTGCGCATGACGATGACCGTAATATTACGGTTTTGTGAGATGTTGGGACAAAGTTAATCGCTATTATTAGTTACACACTATTTGGATAAATTACTATAAACATTGGAGTAGAATCAAGCGATAAGAAAACCATTTTAATCCTAACTTTTTTTACATAAAAGTTAAGATTAATAATTACGCAAATAGAAAAATAAAATTACTCTAGGTAGATCTCCACAGAACATTGTTTTCAGAGATTTTTTAGTTTTAATCCTACTCAAACATGAAATCTATGTATAATTTTAATAAGGACCGATTTCATAATGAATATTAAAAGATTCATTATTTAACGGTCCCATTATGAAATCGACCCTTAATATTAAGTCAAAATTGTTTTCTTAGTCCTTGATTCTACGCCAATAGGTTATCGTAATTTATCGAAATAAAATACATAACAGGTACATATTTTTGAGGTAGTCATTACTGTAAGGGAAGATATTTGGAAAAGTATGTATTTAATTCTTTTTAGAATGAAAACGGAAACTTTTACAGGAAAATTATATTTAGCTTTTCCTAAGTTAAATCTACAAGTGCCACAGTTTATGGTACTTTATTCTAAGAGTCCCTGTATAACACTAAAAAGTTCTCATTCCATATAGAAGTGTTTAAAAAAAAAGTCAAAAACTGACAAGTTTTCGAGAAAAATTGAATCAAACTTGCAATATCCAGAAATTATTGTATACAATTGAATCGATTATTCAGTAAATTACTAAGTGTTTCTTTTTTTTTTTTGTTTAAGATCCTGATGAATTTTCTACAACATCAAATATAATTTTGGAAAAGGTAAATAAAACATGTTACTTTGTATTTACATTGCCTGCATTATATAAATTATTAAATTAATTTATTTATAAAAAAAAGGGATTCAAAAATACAACAAAACTAGTTTGTTTTTAATTTATTAACGTCGGTTTAAAATGTGGTGTAAGTTTGGACAAGCCCTTGATAGATTTGTTATTTCTTAGATTTCTTCAGTTTTTTTTAAATAAACATCCATAAAGTACCCTTTAGCTTTTTATTAAAAACGTTTACATGATGGTTCCATCCTTTAAAAAAAAGTTAATAAAATATATTTATTTTTGTGACTTCTAGAATTAAAAGAATTTGCTCGAAATTCACACATTTTGATTGTAATAGTAAACAGTGCAACAGCTCTTAACTAATTAACAATATTTCCTTTTAACAAACTGTGTAGGTATTTAGGAATGTACCTAATAATTATTATTTTTACCTAAACGAATGTAAAGAACCATTAATGGCATTGATAATGATGGGTGAGTCAAGCACTGATAAAAATTGAAATAAGGCAAACCAGACTCGGGCAGTGCTTTGCACTAGTCGATTGAGAACCGAGTCACGCCGAGCGATCCGTCAATGAAAATGGAATCGTGGAGAGAAGGGAGTCAAAATATTTAGTTTTATAGGTATTTCTGGGAATAACAACTTTCCGTATTTATATGATTTACATCTTTATTTCAAATCCAATTTTAATTATTTTTTTATTTTCTTGAGAAAAGATGAAACTACATTTACATCATTGTATTTGAAAAACAATGTATTTTTAATATAATAATTTGTCTAATAAAGTTAGGTTCTTTTTAACAATTTTATTGAACTTATAGATTTTTTTCTGGTTGAACTGTTTATATTTTAATCAAAAGCGTCTGTAGGATGATAGTCCAAGCCTTTATCTTTTGAAAAAAAAAAAAAAAAAAAAAAAAAAAAAAAAAAAAAAAAAGTCATCACAATGCTTAGGGTTAATATTGCATAACTGTTCTGATTTCTCTCTAGAAGCCATAAAAAGAGTTTATCAAACATTGGTTGTACCTCAATTGGAGTATGCTTCTATAATTTGGTCACCACAATATCATATACACTGTCTAACAGTGAAAAGAATACAAAATAAATTTTCAGGTAACTGATTACAATTATACTAGGATATGAGCCAACTTAAGTACAGGAGACATATCAGATTTGAATTTTATCTCTAGATTATTAAATGGTCTAGTCATATGCCCAGAACTCTTATTCCTAATAGAGTCCTTAGACAATTAAGTATGTTCCATTTCATAATACAAACTATGGCATGCATTTACCTATTGAAGGAACATTGAGGGTAATAAATCAATTGAATCTTGAGGTTACAGGCATTTCTTTTAATAAATTTAAGGCAATCTGTATGAATGCACTGGAGTAAAAATTAAATATTACAGACGAATTTACAATACTTAAAATGCAATTATTAATCTAAAACTTATTTGACTTAATTTTAACTTTTTTTCTTCTCTTACTTGTATTTTTTAATTTAATTTATAATCTACAATTATCTGTTTTGTGTTATGTGTTTTGCTTTGTAATGGGGTTGATCCCGTTTAAATAAACAAATTACACAGTATTTTAGAGTATAAATAAATAAATAAATAAATAAATATATATATTACGGAATAATCCATTAGTATCAATAAATTACATAAAATAAAATAGCTTAAGTACATTAAAAAAAAAAAAAGGTAGGCACAATAAATCTAAAATTTCATATATGAAATGTAATAAACTAAACTAAAGATATTAAAAACAAATTCTCTTTACATCATTCACAAATTGACTAATAGAACACCCAGTGATGTCTAAATTGTATTGATTAGCCAGTCGCATTAGTCTAGGTAAAGGTGCATGATAAGCATAATTGGTAAGGTGAAGTTGAATGGCAAATAAACTATTATTTCTTGTAGTTCTTGTGGGAACTCTAAATTCAATCATAGCTAATAACTCATCAGAAGTAATAATCCCGGCTATGATCTTATGGAGGAATGATAGATCCATCAATATTCTTCTATTAACAAGGGTTGGGAGGTTTATTAAATCCAGAATTGTGGAATAATTATATGTACCTGCTGCTAGACCAACTTTAAAGGCACAATATCGTAGATATTTATTTTGGACATTTTCAATCCTTTTTACAGAGTTTATGTAAAATGGACACCATATGGTAGAGCTGTACTCCAAAATGGACCGCACATATGCAATATAAACCATTCTACAGGCATCTAAAGATAACGAGCTAGAGTTTCTTATCAGCATGCCTAACATTTTCATTGCTCTATTAACTATAAGATTGATATGATTATTAAACGAAAGATCTGAGCAAAACACGATTCCCAGGTCTTTAATTTCGGTAACACGTTTAATTAATGTATTGTTATTCAGAGAGTAGTTATGTGTTATTTGATTATGATTTTTTGTAAAAGTAATGCAGTAACACTTACTAGTGTTTAGGGTTAGACCATTAGAGGAAGACCATTTACATAAGGCATGGAAATCTTTTTCAATATTATTACAGCAATCACCACTGTTAATCTTTAAGTAAATCTTTAAATCGTCAGCAAATAGCAGATAATTACTATATTCAAAAACAGATCCAACATCATTAATGAATAGATTAAAAAGTAATGGAGCTAAGTGGGCCCCTTGCGGTACACCAGAAGAAACTTTTATGGGATCAGACAAATAATTCTTTATTTTGACACGCTGCACTCTACCAATGAGATAACTTTTAAGCCACTCTAGAAGAAAGGGAGGGAATCCGTAGGCTTGCAGTTTGAGTAATAGTAATTCGTGATTGACTTGATCGAAGGCTTTAGAAAAGTCTGAATATATGGCATCTACTTGCAAACCGTTTACTACAGAATTTATTATGTAATTGTGATAAATAACAAGATTAGTTGTAGTAGATTTTCCTTTTGTAAAACCGTGCTGCTGATCAGTAAGAAAGTTTTTGCAGTGCCAAGATAAACAATTATTTACCAGCTTCTCCAATAATTTTGGAATCGAGGATTGAATCGAAATAGGTCTGTAGTTCTGAATTTCCTGCTTGGATCCGCTTTTGAATACAGGTATAACATGACTCTCTTTCCATGAGTTAGGAAATTGTTGAAGTTTTAGTGATAAATTAAACATTATATGTAGTGGTTTGCATAAAGAGTAAATGCAATGTTTTAGGAAGTACGATGGAATTCCATCAGGACCACTGCTTAGTTTATCACTTAAGGAACCAATACCATTAAATATATCCTCAATGGAAAAACATATGGGTCCAATATCAACTGAGGAGGAAAAATTTAAATGATAGTTATCTGGGTATAAAATCTGTTGTGAGACGTCAGTCCCATTGTTAAGTTTTTTTCAGCCTATTGTAAAACCTACATAGCAGATATTGACTTGAAAACAGAGACGAGTAGTTTTAGCAAACTCATCAATTGATATTGTACATAAAAAAATATTAAAAATTCTGTAAAATAATATTATGTAACACACCTACCACAAAAATTTGGGCATCCGTACACAAAAAAAAAATGTGTTCTTTTAACTGGTACTCTCAAAAACTGAGTGGACATTAAAAAAAAAAATAGTGATTACATCAAAATATTGGCAAACCAAAATCTGTTGAGTATTTTTTCTAATTTCTTTTAGATGTAAAAAAAAAAAAAAGAAATGACCCATCCATTCATTTTATATTTTCATTATTACAAACATTTTTGCAACAAGCCTTAAAATACTAAAAGTGTGTTTGTGCAAATCAAAAATAATACCAAAATTATTATAGGTAGGTACATACCCTTAGTTATACTTTTCAGCATAGTGTTCAAAGTAGCCACCTCACGTTCAAGTTGGCTCTTCTCTTGCACCAATTTGTCAAATTCCGCTTGCACTGTATGGGGACCAGAACTGCTCAGCTGCTGAATTTTGACTTCCGCCAAAGATAACCTAGTAGATAATTCGCTGTTTACTTTCTGAAGATTCGCTTTATCTTCAGCAGTAGTCCTCAATTTTTCTCTAACCTCCAGTAGATCTTGTGATAGCTCATCTTTTTGTTCTCGGAGAACATCATAATCTCTTTGTAGATGTACAAAGAGTTCGTTTCGTTCAACGCCGCTACTTTCTTTGCGAATTTTATCAGATTTTAGATTATTTAACTCTTGTTCTAATTCAAAAGCTCTAGATCTCGAATTTTTTAAACGCGCTTGCAGCTCCTCACATTCAGACGATTTTTGTTTAAAATTCGTTTCTAATTGCGTAAGATTTGCCGATAATTCCGTTTTTTCGCTAACTAACAGTCTGATGGTTTGAGTATGGCAATTTAATTCTTCACTAAACCTATTCAATTCCAAAGAATTATCATTCGAACTAATTTCGTTTTCTAATCGCGTTATTTTTGATTCTAAATCGGTTATTTTTGATTGATATTGATTGGCTAATGATTTTTCTTGTTCTAATTTAGTAGTTAGTTCGATATTTCTTTTTTCTAAGTCGCTCATAGAGCCAGTCTCATTAAATGGTTGCTGGGATTGTGCCATCTGATTTGAAAAATAACTAAGGCTACTTGTGTTAGAGTGTTGAACACCTTCAATTGCTTTACTGGAATTTCGGGCGATCTCATTTTTAATTGCTTTATTTTCGATATCGCTAACTTGCTGCGACCCGCTGTGTAAAAAGTCTATTAAATCTTGCCTATTTTGCTCCGAAAACGGATTGCCTTCGGATTTTTTACCGTGATGCTCGAAAATTTCATTCTGCTTTAGTTCGGGATCTTCCAAAGTTAAAGAATCCGTACTAGGTCTAATTATTTGTTGAGTTTCTTTAACGTAACTTTGCTGGTTACTTTGATTAAATAGAGAATAATCATTATCTTCAGAAGGTTGTTCTATATCACATTGGGGCGTCTGTACAATATTATTAACCATTTTCGTAATACTAGTAGACGGCTTTTCATTAGTTTTCGGAGATATTGTGTCAAAAAACATCCAATTATCACCGTAATTATTATTACTACTATTAAAATAATTTGGTAGCGGCGTGGCTTGCACCACAGAACTATCAGCATTTATATCATTATTTATTGAGCTATGTGTTGAACTAGTTAAACTATCTACTGGGGTTTGCTCGGTTGCATCATTTTCTACAGATGTATTTGTGGCATCTTTCTTTTTCTTTAATTCTTGCAATTCTTTGAACTAAAAGTGAAACGCAAAAAATTACAAGAAAAAAAATGGCTGTATGACGCTTGATGATGTGGCCCGACGAAATTTTCGAATTAATACATTTTTACAAATTTAAACGAGCAAACTTCAACAACTACGTAATAAAGACGTTTACTATAGCGTTAATTAATAAGTTTTGTAAAAAATAACTCACCCTTTTTCTGGAATTCGCTAATTTTAACTTGTGTGCTTTTGATGCGTCCGCCATGTTGTTTGGATGCTGCCGGAAGAGGGCCGGCAATGGCGGCGGCAATCGTTCATTTGTTCGTCGCCATCAAATGACAAAGATAGATAGAGTTCCAACTTAATGTAATAAAAGGAAACAACTAGAGTGGGGAAAGGTGACAAAGAAACAAATCGATTTATTCTGGAAATATGAGCAGTGTTGCCATTCGTACCGACTTGTCACGAAAATAGCGACATTTTAAGGGTTTGTGAGAGTAGCGGCGTTTTAGTCTAAATTAGACAAAAATAGCGACTTTTTGATCTTTAATAGGTTAAGTACTAGTGTATTAAAATAACAATGCGCTATTAATTATATAGGTAATCTCAATCGAGACCTCGCCATCTATCGATAGAAGAAATCAGTTGTCTACATGAAAAAATGGGCTTTTAAAAAAATATATTTTACAAATAGGTATTTAAACAATATGAAAAATGATTCAAACAAATTTAAGAAAAACTACTAAATCTGTTCACGAATCAGATTCAACGACTCAGGCTATTTTTTATCTATTGGTGTTATTTAAATTTGTAGTTTCTTTAAGATCTTTAAAATATGTTTATTTCTAGTTTTTTAGGCAATTCAACATACAACACACACGTTAATAGGTTCTTTCGTTCGCTATTGGTGTAGTGTCCACCAGTGTAAATTACACCAGTTACACCACCTTATTTACCTTAGTTTACTTCCCTCCTTATTCCTTATACATATTTCGAGTGTAATTCACTCCTGCTAAATAGCTGATGGAGAAAATATCCACCAGTGGACACCACATCGCCGACAGGAAGGTTTAGTGGATTTTACACCGGGCCGAACGAAAGGTTTAGTGTACGTTGGTGTAGTTCATTCCTACACCAATGGGACGAACGAAAGAACCTAATGTATGTTTGATTATATATTTCATCCATCAATGTAGCGACAAAACAGCGACTAGCGACTGGGCGAAGAAAAATTGCGACAATGACAGATATCGGTGCGGCAACCCTGAATAAGAGTGAGAGCAGGATATAAAGAGAGAATACAGTATAACATTTGAATCGATTATAGATACGATTTATATGATATTTTCTTGATATTTTGGTATTTCTTTATTTTTGGGGTCTATTCTGTAACAATTAACCGTTAAAATATTGGCGGCCTTCAAAAAACTTTTCGTATTCGTTAATTTACTTATGTCATTATTTAAACAGATTTCTTTAAGGACCGATTCCACCGTTGTGTTAAGCGAAGTTTAAAATTATATTTTTACATTAACAACGTCATTTTTATCTCCGTTTAACACAACGGTGAAATCCGTTTAAATAATGACAGAAGTAAAGAAAAAAATATTTTTAAAGGCCGTTAAAATATAAAGGAATTATTACAGAATAGACCCCTTTTATCACGAAAAGAAAAATAAACAAATAGATAACGCCTCATTATAGACATTTCAAATAAAACAAGAGATATTTTTCTTATGTGGCTGGAAATTATTACTATTTTTGACCTTTGAATTTTGAATATTGTTTAATTTCAAGTCTTATCTAATAAACAAATAATAAACAGTAAATTTGTATTAGTTTTCTAGCTGTTTTAATTTTCCAAGACAATTTTTATCGAATCAGTGATATATTCAAGGACGCCCTTATCAGTATTTTTCTATTATTAGTTTATTTTTGGAGCCGTAAGTACCGCAGTACCTACCGTTCAATTATTACATACGTGAAATCGATGGCGGTTCAAAAGAACGCTTATGGGGATTTCATTACAATTTTATACCAAGGGTTTAGAACCACCCTGTAAATGCAAAGTGACATTCGGTGACATTTACCAGTTGTGTCTGTTTTTAATAAATGAAAGGAATGATAAAATTTAAAAACCAATGTTTTTCATTCAAAATTTAGTGCTAAATTGTAAAAATCATGAAGACTATAAAAACTTTGTTAAAAATGGTTTATTTTATTAGCTAAATAAGTTGAAAAATTCATTAAAAACCGAACACCAACTGAATTTTCGAGTTAAATATGTCTGGTGTATTTGGATATAGTCGAGAGGCTGTAAGGGTAAAAGTTAAGGTAAGAAGTATTTCTTCTATATCAGTTTATTTTAATTAAAAGGTAAAAATACGGATTGTGTAATGTACCTATACAAACTTTTAAGTTATCGTAATTGTTTATGTAATATGTTTCATGGCTAAAGTTTATGTTTTAAATAATATAGGTACATTATTATTAATGACACCTACCTATTCAGTTAAAATGTACATACAAGAACATAATAAGTTGAAATTGAGAATTGAATTCAACTAATCATCAGACATACAGTAGTAGACAATCCAATTTCAGATATACCTATCATTCACATTTGAACTTTTTTATTTAGGTAGGTATTTTTATATACATGTAAAGTATTAGTAGTTTTCACACTTCAAATATTTTTTTATTTTCCACCTACCGACTCCATAACAAGTAATTATATTTATGTAAGGTAAGAACTAACATATGTGCAGTTCATATTTTAATAACCAATAATATATTTCTTAAAATAGAGTGCATTTGATTATGATAACATTAAGAATTTACTTAAGATATCATTTTAAAACTCTGTTAGGACTGACTTGGCTAGGTATACTTCATACATTGGCATTTTAAATCGTTTTAAAAAGCATCTCACAAATATTTCAAGATATGAAAAAATGAATAATAAGAAAAGTTGTTCAAGAAAAGTTATAAATTGACTTTTAAGTATATACATTATCTAAACAAAAAGACCACAGTCAAAACGTCAGATTCCCTTTGGAAAAGCAATAGGTAAATATTTTTATCTTTCTCTTTAAATTATGTTTTTAGATGTCTAGGCTTTGTGTGGAATTTTAGGTATCAATTTTTCATGATAGAAATAGAATTTATTCATCTTTGAGAATTATACTTTATACAAAGACACTAGGTACATAATGTAAAATCCTATCAGACTAGTCAAAAAAGTGTTAAGTAAAATACATTAAAAAATAAAATATAATAAACAATTCATGGTAAGATTAGTTTAAAAGTTCAAAAAATCTTCTATACTATAAAATACATTATTTACAAGAAAATCATTAAGATGTTTTCTTAAATCATTACCTCTAATTTGATGATAACCTGTAGTATCTTCTAATATGTTACTGAACTTATTGTAATACTTAATCCCAATATATTTTGGTGAATGCTGGCTTATTTGTAGTCATGAAAAAGGTTGATGGATGTTAAATTTTAATCTAGTATCATATGAGTGCAGGTCTTTATTTTTCTTAAATATATGCTCATTATTTTTTATGTATAAAATTAGTTGAAAAATAAAAAGGGAAGGTAGTGTTAAAATTTGCGTTTTCTTGAAAAGTTCTTTGACTTCAATATTAATTTATTTTACTTAAATATATTAACCACTTAATGTACACATTTATTTTGATTTTTTGGTAAAAAAAGAATCGGATTTTTTTAAAGTGAAAAATTAGTGTTTATACTTATTAACATTTTATTAGAACAGGCTCGCATTCTGAAACCAGAGTAAAAAAATGTGTGAGTAAATGTAATAGTCACCCGTGTCTCAGTCAAGCGCATACAAAATTACCAGTATGGCGCGCTCGTCTCTGACACGGGCATGTACGTTTAGTGGTTAAATTGTACCTCTCAAACAAAATAACTTCACTTAGGTGGGGTAACAAATCTTGTTGTACAAGTGATACATTTTCTTTCAGAAATGTGAGGCCAACCAGCCACCAGAACTGAGAAAATTTAGTGTAGATCCCCAAATCACCTCATTTGAAGTACTGCAAAGCATTTTGGCCAAAGCATTTGATCTCAAAGGGGACTTCACAGTATGTTTTCGAATTTACGATATAAATGGTTATGAAACTTATATGCCTATTCTGTCTGATTGGGACCTAGATGCCGCATTTTTAAAGTAAGTACTATCAATATGATTTCCTTGTATTTTGCTGTAGACAATTTTGGACTTTGGAGCTGAGTTTATGTTTCTGGACATACCCTGTATATGACTGAGAAATGTTTATTTTTGATGTCAATTTTGGGCGTTTTGGCATATTACACTGTATACCTAATTAAATTTTCATTTATGCCATGTCCAAAAAGCCTCAAAATTAAATATATTTATCAATTTTGTGGTAGTTCAAATAATTAGTTTATTATAGTTTATAAAATTTACAAAACTTTCATATAAAAAAAAAAGAAAATATAAGATCATAATATGTGCACCTAGGTGCAAGCATCTGCATATGCATTAAATTACTAAAATTTAGATTTCAACACATAGGTACAATAATTAAAGTAGGTAGTAAATAATGTCAGAATGCAATTAACATTTATAAAAGTTCTTCATTTAAAAAATAGTTGTCAGTTATATTTTACATTTTCTTGAAAATATTTTTATATTTTTTGTTTTTTCATCCCATCGGGTTAGACATTGAACATTTTTGGTCCCATTATCGATGCAAATCTTCGGTTTGGTTTGTGTCATATTTGCGAAATATTCTGTACCAATTCATAATATAAGAGTGTTGTAGAGACAGGTCTACCCTTATAAAATATTACTTTTAGAATATAATTCTGAACTACATTTAATGGCTGTAAAGCATTGTTAGAAATACTCCCTAACGATTATAACATATCTCATTGATTCAACTAATGACTGATACTTTCGTACTAGCAACTTTTTGTAAAAAATGTTACAAATTAATAGAACTTGGGAATTAGTTTTTTTTTTAGTTTTATTATTTTATTAGGAATTTGGGGAACCTCTTTTTAAGTTTTTGTCAATAACTATTTTATGTTTTCAGTTTACTTAATAAGAAAACTTACCTAAGATCTACCATGCTAGAAGATCAACTTGATGGTTTAGCTTTATGTGTCTCCATCAAAATATAGAATTAGATATAGACAAAATCCTCGACAAAATCATAAATCGATGTTTAAATAAAAAGCCAAGTATGAGAAAGAAAACACAAATATTTTATTGAAAAATGTAGGCAACCGGTTTTGGCTTAAAAGCCATCATCAGGCCTGAAATATGAAGAAATTAAATGATTGGTAAAGTTATGAGGTTTTAGGTCAAATTAAATTGAAATGATTCGTTAAAATTTGTTTAAAAAATTAAATATCGGAATTAATAGATACTATACGGTTTATATGTAAGATTTACACATATTTGAAGTTCTTCAAACTTCTACATATTATCAATGGAGCAGGTATTAGCAGTGGCGGCTTTTGCATAATTGCTGTAGAGATGCAGAACTGCCAAAAATGCAAATATTTCATCTACATTTTACAAAAAATATTTAAGACATTCTAAAACATACGTAAAATAGATTATATGGTTAATCTTATAATTTTAATTTAATTTTAATCATGTAATAGTAAATAGTGGGTGTACTGCACTGCTTGGGTCGCCCGCGCTCTTTGTCTCCTTTAGTTGTTCAGTAGTCTTGATAGGCACATGCTTGTCAATAAAGATTAATTAACAAGTTGCGAACAGCGAAACTTCCTTGGCAACAGTATTTTGATCAAAAATTAAAAAAAGGTGTATTGAACAATTCTACTTTAAAATTTTTAAAACCCATTTTTTTTTATTTTTGATCAAAATACTGTTGACAAGAAAGTTTAGCTGTTCGCAAACTTGTTAATTAATCTTGTTTGACAGGTATATACCTATCTAGACTACTAGAACAAGTAAAGAAAACGAAGAACATGAGTGGCCCAAGCAGTGCAGTGAACACACACCATTTACTATTTAATGATTAAAATTAAATTAAAATTATGAGATTATCCATAAAATCTATTTTATGTATATTTTAGAATGTCTTAAATAATTTCTGATAAATGTAGATGAGATACTTGCATTCTTTTGGTAGTTCTGCAGCTCTACTCCAATTACTATCTATTCATTCTTGTATTCAATTTTTAATTTCCTGTAACCAGTAAGGAAATGATAGGAATCATAATTTTTTCAACCTGAGTTTTCAATGGATAGGTATTTATGTTTTTGGGTCCTCTGATTTCATTTTATCCATTTTTTCGATGATTTCTGTGTGTGTCTTTATCCACGATAACCCAAAAACTGATAAACAGAAAAATAAGAAATAAAGAAATTTGAAGAAAAGTGGAAAATTTTAATGTTTTTAGTAACATTGTTGGCAGTGAAGATATGATATAGTATATTGCATTATTATTGTGGAAAGTGACATTTTTCACACGATTGAGAAATATTGTCACACGAGACACAATTCAAATGTGAAAAATCACTTTTACACGAGTGATGTACAATATTTTTCCTACAACTACAAAATAATTTCATAAAAAAATGTAAAATCAGGAAAACTGGCTATAAAGGTTCAATCAAGATGTGACTGGTTTTAGATATGTTTTTTATATGCCTTATTGAATAATTTTTAAAGTGTTTTACAGATGGTATTTTGTCAAAATTAAAACCACTGTGATTCCCATTACAAACACTTTCATAGGGTGATACTTTAGGTACAAAAAAAATATTAGAATAAAATGTTTTTCATAAGTTTAATATAGAAAAAAAAAAAAACAATGAGATAACCATCAACAAGAACTTATTTTTATTAATAAAGATGATTACCCACTTATCTACTAACAATTTTTTCTGGACAGTAATCAAAATAGTACAAAATAAATAGCGAAAAGATAAACTGCAGGGGTTATATTATGATAAATAAAATGTATTTAAAATAAATAAACAATCATAATCGTATTTTTTCATATTTTTCCATAATAAAAAAAGTTCTATCGGGAATTGAACCCATGTTGCGACATGCGGAATGGAGATTCATATTCACACAAGGGTAGATTCTTATTCCCAACCAAAAAAACTTTCCTGACAAAATTGCTCTCTGGTACAATTAAAGTCGTATCAATTTCTAGTGTGCTAAGGCAGGAGCCGTGTAATAGTGCATAAAAACAGTACTGATTAAGAAAAACGAGATAGCATAAATAAAATATCTAGTAACACTCCCATAGTTATAAATATTTCAAAATAAAAAAAGTAAGAGAAAAAAAAGTATTTTTAAATAATTAAGCATAGAAATTCTTAGTAATTCAAATGTAGTACTGGATGTTAAATATCTTTTGAACTATTGTACAATGAAATTATAATTTCTTTAAAAAGGCAATTCAAGCGAATTTTAATCTTTTAAAGGCATGATTTTAAATTTATAATGAATAAAAACTGACAAAGCTCTTAAATGAGCAAATTTCTTAATCTATGCCCAGATTAAAATTTCAATAATAAATTGTACATGTAGTGCTTGCTTATCAAAGGTACCATGTAATGTATATTATTTTATCAATTATATTATTTATTCGTTATTTACATGTAAATAAATCGATAAAAAGGTTGCTAATTATGCTAAAAATATATTTTAAAACTGTCGTACACAATTTACGAAACTAATATATTATGTATGTATTTTTATGTTCAGATAAAGTTGTCCTTATTCTCATTGAAAACTAAATATCTAAATTATTATTTAACAACCTTGGTCTTACTTTAAACAAAACAACAAATTATAGACACCTGATGAATTCAAAATAGTAAATACTATTCATTTTAAGAGCCTTCAAACCATTGATCATATAAATGTAGATATGTAACCCTATACTACAGCAAATGGTTTGTTCCACCATCTCGAGGATATTTGGTTATTGTTATTTTTTTTCTTTTTTAAACATGAGCGGGTGAAATAAAAATTAAAAGTTTGTCGGAAAAAAATTACGATATCAATAATAAATATAGAACTTCTAATAGACATTTGGCAAATAAACAAAAATAAAAAAAACAAAACGCTGATATGCGTATCAAAGCACCAAATAAAGCTGACGAAATCTGTTATAAATTATTATTATTACTGTTTAACAAACTTAAATATTTGGTGATAAAGTCAAAATTACTGTTTAATAAATGTTACTGACATAGTTTTGATTGTCATTTTAAACAATTTTTCCAATTAGAAATGTACAGTAAACTTTTGAAATATATTCTTCAATGACTGTAATTTATAATATGATGTAATATACGAGGGGCTTTCCACTATTGAAAATTTGTACACCCATTGTCGTATTTCCTAAACAATGCCAGCATTTCTGAAACATTTCCTGCATTGCCGAAACACTTCCGGAATTTCTCAACTATTGCCGGCATTTCCTACACATTGCCGACTTTACGTATTGTATTATCGAACTATTTTTTTTACTACAGGAAGCTAAAATTACGTAAAATTATGAAAATATATGTTCGTTAGGACATTTTTACTTTCCTAACTGTATACAGATAAGGAAAGTATAGGAATCATGTTTCTCGATATCGACTTTTCGACGGATTTTTACGTTTTAGGGTCCCCTGAATCCGTTGTGATTATTTTTGCAATGTTGTCTGTGTGCATGTGTGTCTGTATACTCGATAACCAAATTTTAAATTTATGCTTTAATATCCGCTGTGGTAAGCTGATTAAATTTTGGGAATAGTCGGAACATCTGGGGAGGGGGAGCACTTTATACACGGTCGTTTTTCTACTCTATAGAATATATTTGTTATTTACGCTTGGCGAAGAAAATTCTTCTATTAAAAGTTACTTGTGATTCTCTACATTTTTGCCCCATACATAATTTTCCTAAAATGGTCCGTGGTCTTGTGATGTCAGTCTCTATAATTTTTGTCCTATACATATTTTTTCTAAAATGGACCGTATTCAAAATATTTGAGAAAAGGTGCAAATTTCAAAGAGAAGAAAATTCTTCAAATAAAAATTGTTTGCAATTATTCTCTATAATTTCTGCCGTATACATAATTTTCCTAAAATGGTCCGTATTCGAGAAAAAGTGCAAACATCGAATTTTTAAGAAAATTGTTCAAATAATAGTCGCTTG